GTAGACAGTCCCCTATAACTAAGGGATAAAATACCAAAAGCTGTTTCTTGGGAAAATATGTTAGTGAATCGTCTTTTGTCATACTTCATTGAGTCTTAATCATATTTGATATTCTTATCAGAGACCATTACAATCTCAGCTGAGTCAAACAAGGTCTAAGTGGAGAAGCACTGCACATGAAGACCTACCATCTACAGATATTTTTCATTCTTCCTGGTCAAAACAAAGCAGAGCCATACCTGTATACAGTAGAGCTGTCAGTGGATATTGCACTTTTTCCTTTAGAGAAAGGTTGATCCGAACTGTGACTGCACACCTGGGTGCTGCATACACAAAATCCATCCATCGTGGAAAAGAGTATTTCCTTCATCTTAACATTTGAACACAGAGAACCCAGAGCCAGATAGGTGAGGGATATTTCCAAAATGATTTTATACTATGAGAGGATAGTTAGTCTTCTTTGCAGTATTGTTTTCTGCTTTCTCTCCAGATTTGGTTGCTTGACTTTTCACAGAATCTGAGTCCAATCATTGAGTCCTTGAGCCCTAGTGTCTCAAATGCATGACAGGTGCAATAATGAAATTTACTTTTGGTGTTATTTATTATGGCTTCAATATGCAAACTCTCACCTTCCTCATTCCTCTTGTCCCCTGAACTTAGGACACAGGTATGCTTTTTCACTGAAACTATTTTACTTAGGAAGTATCCCCAGTGTAATCCCCAAAATGTCTTCCAGAGGAACTATCTCTGAAAGGAGAATCAGCAGACCCTAAATATGACCCCAGTTCATATTCTGAGTGCTGTATGACTTTGGTGAATCCATTTTATCATCACACATTTCAAATTTCTTTCATAAAAAGGAAAAGTAAAGTACTTTATATGCACTATCTTAAGAAAATAATTGAGGTAAGAGACTTTAAAGCAGATGACAATTTATCTTTTTTGAAAATGTAATCTAGTCCTTCTACATATGGATGAATATCAATTAGAACTGAAATAAAATTTTACACATTCCCTTAGGTCTCTTCCCCCAAAATACTATGGAAATTGTCAAAAGTGTCTCGTATTTTTAATTATTTTCTTTCTCCAACCTTTGTTTTACTCTTTTTCATTCCTTCTGCTAGGTCTAAAGTTTAGAACTGAGGGGTTAAAAAAACCCCTGAAACTTCCAGCTTCAAAAAGCAAGATTTTTACCAAGAATACTTGGAATGAGATTTCATCCGTTGTGATTCCCATTTCTGATCTAATATCCCTAACATATCAGATCAGTATAGCTTCTGCCCCTCCAGAACCCTATTCATACTCTACTACACCTCAGTTGCCACTTTCATTACATATTCATCAGTTCCAGACAAAATGGACTTGTCTGCTTCACTGTAGGTTCATATTGCTTTCTAAAGAGTGCAGTCCTCCAACCCAAGAATGGATGATACAGTTTAAGAGTCCTTATTTCCTTGGGTGCAGGGTTCTGAAATCACCTGAGACTGGTTTAGATTGTGAGGGAAACTACTGAGAGGAAGTTTCTTAAGTTCCCTCAAATTGGCTTACCCACAGGCCTAAGGAAGTATGGAAGAGGCTGCACTGGTGACGTGGGGCTGCAAGATTCCCCTCAGGAGCTTCAGGCATTAGTGTTAATTTCTGTCACCACTCTCAATTCTCAAGAGGAGGGCTTCCATGTTGCCCTTCTTCTCCCTGTAGAAGATTATTCTTCTTCACCCCTATTCATTCCAAAATGCCACTGAAAACGTTGGTTATTCTAAAAAGTCATAGAAGCCAGCTTCATGAGGCTTTGGGACATTCTCCTAGAGCCTAAACCTGACTCTTAACCCTCACACTTCTGTTATAATGAGTCATGGTCCTGATCCCTTCCTGTAAGTCAAGCCAGTTCTCATCTTTGGCTCTAGGATGCCCTTATCTCTCCTTCTGTAGACAAGTGAGTTCTGCTTTAAACTCCAAAGTTATGCACAAAGAATATTTCTGAACACTAAAAGTGCTGATGGACATCTCAGTATATTTTCATGGTTCTACTAAATTCTAAAAATAATAGCATCATATTATTCTAAGTATTTTGACTAAAACTTAAGACTCCAAATAAGATCAACATAAAGTGAATCTTACCATCTATAGAAAGGAAGAAAAGGGAAAAATTAAAAGATTATCCAAAATACTTAACACGGAATTGTTAAATTTCTGTACATCTTTGAATTTTTAATATTTATGAAAATAAATATAATTTTTGTAAGAATGTAATTTTTGGAAGAATTGGGTTATATTACAATTCCCTGAAATATTCTTTATACCCCATGCAGCTTCTTAAAAAAATCATTTAATCATTAATCATTCATATACCAAATCAATTACACAATAATCCATTAATTCATCTGTTCTTTCTTTTACCCAATTGTCTATCACATTCTAATACTCAGTTACCCGTTTACTCATTTTCTCTTTTACCCAATGTTGCATTTCATCATGCACATGTCACCTTATCTACTTCCCTAATATCCATTAATTGTTTACTAAATCTTCTCTAATCACTCGATTTGTCATAGACCTTCATAGTCATTAGTATATTCTATCATGTCACCATGACTTCTGATACTATAGCACTAATACTGTTTCTGTAAAACTCCAGGCAATAGAACAGGAAAGTAGAGATTCTTCTCATTGAATCTTCTGATTTTTAAGCTTCCATAAAAGAATTGGTTGGATGTCTTCTCTGAGGCATGATGGAAACTTTCATGGCTGTGAGGACTTTAGTCACGGTATCCACTGTTTATCTCTACTCATCTGAAGATAAGAAAGTTAATTCCCAAATTTTAAGAAAACTGAGATCATAGAAGCAGAGAATAGAATGGTGGCTACCAGAGACTGACAGGGAAGAGGTGGATGGGCATGGGGAAGATGTTATTCAAAGGACACAAAGTTTCACTTAGACAGGAGGAATATGTTTTAGTGACCTATTGTACAACATGGTAGCCCTACTTAATAATAGTGTTGTGTATTTAAAATGCTAAAAGAGTAAATTTTAAATATTGTCCACAAAGAATAAGTAGGTGATAGGTATGGCACTGTCTTCAGTTCTACACATGAAGTGGTCAAATATGTTTTCGTTATCATCTCTTCCCTTCACTGCAATTGAGTAGAGATTTCTTCTTGGTTGAGGTTGCCTGCATCTAGATATCTTGTTCTCATCTCAGTTTTCTGGTCTGAACCTGGACATTTTAGGGTTATTTATTTATTTATTTGGAACAGTATCTTAGTGTATAGCCCAGACTGGCGTTCAATTCGTTATCTTGTTGCCTTTGTCTCCTAACTACTGAGATTATAGGTGTTCACCACCATAACTGGCTCTTGGACCTTCTAAACAGGAAACTTTCTGCAGTTACCCCAATGGGCTTATTTTGCAACACTTACAGCCCTACTTCATAATCACTTCATTTTCCATCATCCCTGCTGTGTGAGCATACTCTTGGTTGTCAGGACTCTGTAATATTCACTATCGAGTCTCAAAAAACACTTTTTGTAACTGACATGTAGTATATATTCTACTGATATTGCCTAGATCTACTGATATTGCTGATATTCATTGAATCAATAAAATTTTAGAATCCTAGCATTGACATCTTCATGATACCTGCTGATCTTGCAAAATTTAGTATAGTGTTATGATTAGGTGAAATTCAAAATCAAGTGGGTGTGGGATTATATGAAGCTTCAACTCTAAACCCTGAAGTTTTTGTAAACTTGTTTACCAATAATAAAACTGTGCTTTAATAGACTTGAATAAGAGAGAGAAAGGACTGGAGGCATGACTCAAATGGTAGAGTGCCTGTTTTGTAAGTGTGAAACCCTGGGTTCAAACCCCAGTCCCACAAAAAAAAAAAAAAACCCAGAGGAAAAGAGTATTTAGATTATTTCAAAGGAGTGAGAAAAGCAGGTATAAATAAATTCTTCTCTTCTATCACCTTCCTTATCACATTGTGCAGTTCCTTTCACCTTGTTCAATTATTTCTTCCCTTTCTTTTGAGGTATACCCTTAAGTTGCTATCCCTAGGCTTACATAGGTTGACTAGGGCCCTGTTGTATGTGTATGCAAAGAGGGTTAGAGAAATCCTTAATATGGAGCCTTGAGGATTCCATCTGTAAAAGCAAAAACACATATTAGAACTGTCTTTATTAACTTTGGGTGAAGAGTGTGCCTTTTCTTAGAGTAGCAATGTCATTGATATTTCATTCTGTTGAGTATTTTAAGTGTGGATATTGTTTCTAAACATTCAGAGGATGAATTGGTGAATTTTTTAGACATTGAAAAATGTTAACATTTTTGCATTATTATCTTTTAAATTGATAAATCATAATTGTGCATTTGTATGGGTGCAATGTGTTTTGATAAGTGTGTATAGTACCCACTATATACACACTAAAATTCTTCTCAAACTGTTTGAATATTCTAAAATATTACATAAAATTTAGCTTTTCCTTCACCAGTAATAGTCTTATGGACAGATAGTCTTGGATATATCGCTGTCACTGTAGGGAAAGATCCATTTGATCTTTCTCCACTTATTCCTCCAACACTCAGGCTAAAGCATTATATTCACATTAGCAATTTCTGCACAAAAACATTTTAATCATCTATGATAAGAATACTCTCTTCAGATGCTGACTCACAGTTAGTACATGTGACTACATTTACCACACACTATTTTGAATGTCTCCAAATGTGAAAATGCATTTTATTCCCAATGTAAACACCAAAAAAAAAATCAAAATATAGGTAAATAAGGACTACCAGTCATGATATGATCAATGGATAGGTTTGTGATTACAAACAGTATGACAAATCAATTACTATCATCCACAAAATGGAAACTGAGTAAGTGCAGGAAACTGTATGACAGCAGTGCTTAACTCCACTGAAAAAACTACTGTGACAAAAAAAAATACACCCACATGCCACACCCCAACTAACCACTCAGCCTCCTACAGAACATTACCAGTACACAGGATGTCATCTCCTTCCTTCCTGGTTGCCAAGGCAATGTTACCCATGCCTGTCATGTTGACATGGATGGAAAGCACAAGGACAAAGCTCTTTTCTCCAGTGATGCTCATAAGCCATCAAATTGCCAGCTTCAATGTTAATCCAGAATTGTCCTGAATTGTCCTGATAGTTTCTGCCAGGTCCCCTTCACCTCCTATTCTTTAGACTATAAATCATGGAATTCAGCATGGGAATCAAGATGGCATAGAAGAAGGAGATCAACTTCTCCTGAAGGACAGAGGGGCTGAGTGAGTTAGAGGTAGGTAAAAATGGCCATGCCATAGCATAGAGCTACCACTGTGAGGTGAGAGGCACAGGCGTGGAAGGCTTTCTTCCTCCCGTCTGTGGACTGGATCTTCAGGATGGTGGAGATGATCTGGATGTAGGACAAGAGAACCAGGCAGAAGGGTGTTATCAGAAGGATGATACTAGAAACCATGATGGCAAAGTCCTTAGAGGAGATGTCCACAAAGGCCACTCTGACAACAGATAAGCGTTCACAGAATATATGATCACTATACTTGTTTATGCACATGGGAAGCTGAAAGGTAATAGCTGTCTGTATGGGAGTTTATGTAGCCACTGACACAAGATGTGATGGCCAGCCTCCTGCACAGTCCTGCACACATGATGGCAGAATAGCTCAAGGGATCACACACTGCCACATAGCAGCCATAGACCATCATTGCCAGGAGAACAAACTCAATCCTACCAAAATTAGAGAGAAAAATAACTAGACCACCTGGTGATGGGATCATTTTATGTCTGTAAGAAAATGCACCAGAAGCTAAGGGACCATGCCTGTGGCATAAGATACTTACACAAGGAAGAGGTAAGAAAGAACTACATGGGAGTGTATAGCTGGCTGTCCAGCATGGTCAGAAGAACAATGTTCCCCAGAACTGCCTCAGGTGCACAACCAGAAGCAGGAAAAAGAGAACAAAAGACATCAATGTCCCTGGCATTACTTAGACTGAGGAGAATAAATTCACTCACCCACATTGGGTTATCTGGTCCCATCTGAACATGTGAAGACTATAAATCTGCAGAGAGAAAAAAAAAAGACTTTGAATCAAAGAACCACAGTATATGTATAGTATATGTGACCTGCCAACCTCAGGTAAGTGTTTCAGATGATCACGAGGCTCAAGTAACAGACTGTTCTCCAACATACAATATATTTATTTTGCATCAGAAAGACAATAGTGCTTTACTAGGGATATTATGTGGTCTTGGAGAGGTTGATTAAAACCTGCAGATAATGTAGTGCAATTTTTGGAAACTTATCTTTACTGACTTACCTCAGTATCCAAGGACAGTGACTTACCTCTGGTGATGTCAATGAAGTGTTGGAATAGAAAATCTTAAACTCTACTCCTCTTCCATGGTTTCCATCTTGAATGTCCCCCAATGGCCCACATGTTAAAGGCTTAGTTCCCAAGGTGATATTGTTTGGAACTAGTGGAGCCTTTAAGAGATGAGGCCTATTTGGAGGTCTTTAGAATATTAGGGTGTGTTGCTGATGGGAATTGTGAGATTTGTCTCTTCCTTTATCCCTTTGCTTCCTGACACCAGGTAAACATGCTTGCTCCACCATGCACTTCAATGATGTGCTGCTGTCCATATGCCCAAAGCAATGGATCCAACTGGGTCAGGGACTGAACTCTCCAAAACTGTGAGCCAAAATAAACCTTACCTCTTCATATGTTGAGTATCTCTGGAATTTTGTTATAATTACAAAAATCTGATTTTATAATATATATATAATATATATCTGATTTTATAATGTATATATTTATATTATAATATATAAATATATTATAAATGCATATTCTGATAATATATAGATATTATCAGGAAATTTGAAAGGTGGAGCAGAGGGTGAGAAAACACTCCAGCATGCAGGGTGCACAGTGGCAACATGGCAGAGGGTGGCGGCTGAAAGGAAAAAAAGAAAGAATGAGAAGTTCAGAAAACACAATTAACACTGGTCTCAGCACTGTGCAGAAATGCTGCCTAACCAGAGAGGGGCTTGGAATCTTCATAGCGTACCAGACCTGGGAAGGTTCTCTCTTTTTCCTGGCATTTCTTAATGGTTAGGTGGTGGGAAGTCATTTTTCAGTGGCTCCTGTCTGAGTCTGCAGCTTTGACAGTCAAAGACATTGTCCTTTCTCCAGGAACACACAGCAAGGATCATATGCTGATGCAGGGAGTGCTAGTCTAGAGAGCTGGTATAGCTACTGGGAAAAGACTGAGTCAAAGATACTGAGAGCTTCACATAGTAAGACAAAACAAAGGGGAGAGCAGAGGTTGCTTCCTGTTTGAGTCCATCAATCAGAGAAACTATCTAAAAGATTTCTTGAAGTGTGCAAAAAGCTATTACATGTGAATACATGTGGGCGCTAAGTTGCAAAAACTGAAGGATGGATTATATGAATGCTCCACCACTGCCACACTTTGGTGCAGATTGCTGTAACTCCCTAGCACTGCCCTGCCCCACAAGGAGACATTTGAAGGTACCAGAGCCTCCCATCCAGCAGAAAGTTTGTGTTCTTCCCCACCCAGTCCTGGCAAACAGGGCAGCTGAGAGTGACTACCACTAGCTCAGACAATGAACCATGCCCTCTAGTTACTAAGTGACCACCACAGAGGAAAGAGAAAAGGTCAAATAGCACACAAGTTATTGTCTCACCAAATGATATAGCCAAAGTGACCAGAGAGGAGAGTTACTCAGCATAGGGTGGATCCTTTGCTGCTGCCCAAACAGTTAACTTGTCCTTTCCCCCTACTCCCTTTAGTGTGTGTGTGTGTGTGTGTGTGTGTGTGTATAGTCTTCATTTGTTTTTCTACAGAGACTCTTTGAACAGACTTATTTGATTTAAATATTTGCATATAAATTTTTATTCTAGTTCATAATTTCTTTTTGTCTTTTGTTTTCTGTTATTTTTCCTCTCATTTCTTCTTTTAATATCCACTTTTTTCATTTCATTTTGATCTGTTTGTTTTCTTTTTCTACAGGAGCAGGCTGATCTCAGGCTCACTATCTTTGTGCCACCAAGTGCTGGGATTGTAAGCACAAGTCACCACACCCTGCCTTCAATAAATTTTAATCTTCCTACTTCCTCCCTCTCCCTCATTCCCTTCCAGTTTTTCTCTTTAATTCTTAAGCTACATCATTTTTTTCTCTCTCTTATTTCTTCCTCTTTCAATTTCCCACAGTTTAAATTTTTCTTGATTTCAGTTATTTTTATTTTTTTCTTCATTTTACCTTTAATTGAGTCTTCTCTCTTCTGTTCTTCATTTCTCCTGCCATTTATTTATTTTTCTCTTTTTTAATATTGCTCTATAGTATTGGTTCCATTCCTGCTCTTATCAGCTAGTATCTTCATAGTTAGCTCAGTATTATCTTTGTGCCCTTTTCCTCTGGCATTATTGGAGTTGTGATAGTAATTGTTTTCAACTGGTTTTTACTATATTTCCATAGCAAAACTGTTTACATGTTGTGGTTGCTACCGCTGTTGGTTCTCTTTTCTCTGGCTGGTGCTGGGGATTGGATTTGGTGCCTGAGCACACTAGGTGGGTGTTTTGCTACTGAGTTTTACTCCCCAGCCCAGCTGTGAGAATCTGCACCTCAATCCTAGAACCCAGACTTTGATGAATACATCAACTGAAAGAGTATGGGAGATTAAAACTTCCAGCAATGTGGCTCCAGGTTCACAAATCTTAATGCAGAAGCATAGATATATATAAAATAGGCAACATGACTCCTCAAAAACTTAATAATTCCACTGCAACTGATTCCAGTGATACTGAAGTGTATTAAATTCAGGACAAAGAATTCAAAAGATTGAGTATAAGAAAAATCAATTAATTCAAACAGCACACCAAAAAAAAACCTAAATAAAATTAAAGATGATAGCTAAATAAAATAAGGAAGACAATGAAAGATATAAAAGTGATTCAATAAAGATATAGAGATTCTGAAAAACTCAACTGAAATTTTGGAAATGAAAAGCCCAATAAGTCAAATAATAAACTCAGTTGAAAACTTTATCAATAGACTGTATTTAGAAGAAAACAGAATATCAGGGATTGAAGACAAGGTAGACAAATGAGAACATTCAGACATTAATAAAGAAAAAATAAGAAATAATGAACAGAACTTACAACATATCTAGAATACCATTAGAACACTAAACTTATGAAACATTGGCATAGAAGAAGGAGAAGAAGTGTAAGCTAAATAAGTAGAAAACATATTACATGAAATGATTGCAGAAATTTTCCCAAATCTTTGAACAAGTGAACATTCAGGAATATGAAGCTTTTGGAATCCCAAACAGACATGAAGAGGAAAGAAAAAAACCTCCACATATCATATTATATTTAAAAAGTCAGTGTACAGACCCAAGAGATAATATTGAAAGCTTTAAGACAGAAGTGCCAAGCCACATACAAATGCAAACTCATCAGAATAATAGCAAATTTCTCAACAAAACCTCTAAAATCCAAGAGGGCATGCAATGATGTACCTGAAGCCATGAAAGAAAATAATAACAAAAATGGATAACTACATCTACCAAAGTTATCCTTCAAAACTGAAAGAGAAATGCAGAACTTCCATGATAAGCACAAACTAAAGAAGCTCATGACACCCAAGCCAGAAATGCAGAAGATGCTTAAAGGAATCCCAGACACAGAAGAGGAGAATGAGCACGACCATGAGAACATGGAAAAAAAACAGAATGTACAAAAAGAGTTGATAAGTAAATGAGGATTAGAATGATTCCACCATGACAAAAATGACAAAAGTTTAATGCATACCTATGAATAATAACTCTGAATATTGATTAAAAGACACAGATTAGTAGATTGAATTAAAAAAAAAAAGACCCAACTATTTGCTGCCTGCAATAAACTCCGCTCACTGGCAAAGAAAGCACATACTGAAAGAAACAATATCCACAGCAAATAAAGTCCAAATTAAATCAGGAGTGGCTCATCCAAAAAGGCAGAT